GCAGTGAACAAACAGAAGACTGAAATAATCCTTTAATGACTTTTTGCTTAAAATGTTGCTGATCCTTTTTTTCAGAGTCAAGAAAACATTTCTTTTGAGCTATTTAGAGCTTTTAACAATTGAGTACAATATACTCTTATAAATAAAATTTGGAGCATATTAGTTCCTCTCTACCTGGTTTCTCAGTAATTTGGAAACTATTCGTGAATATTCTTAACTTATAACAATACAGTTATTTTTATAAGTGCAATAAAAATCTGTTTTCTTTTGTAATAGGACTCAATTAGAGCCACTAGTTATTTTACCAAATCTTTGACTGGAACAGCATGCTTTCTTTTAAGGAATCAAATGTAACTTAGAGAGCCAATAAGTTGCTTGTGAAAACTGGCCTCATACCTTGTATACACAGTCCCTGTACCTGGTTACTAACCTGTGGTAAGTAAAGAATGTCACTTTCTGACAGGCCCAGGGACTCCAAGTTATCTTGAGATCTCAAGAGGAGAGGAATTTACCCAACTCCTATGGTATTTGATGGCATCCACCTATGGCTGGGCTTAAGGTTTTAAAAAGTCTTATCTGAGATTTCTTATGGAACAAAGTTCCATCAAAGCCAATTTTAAAAGGAGCTTATATGGCAAATATTCTTGCTGTGCTTTATGCAAATAATCAAGCCAAGTATAATAAAACTTAAGCTTATTTTGCAAAACAAATCAGTCTTATCATGATTTGTTTTTAATACAAATGAGGACAGGAGACAGAAAAATTATGTTTAAAAAAATATAGTATACCTATTATTAGACTCTAGATTCAGCCAGTTGTTTTTGAGTTTTTGTCTGCAATTTAGACTAATCCTGCTTATTCTTCTGAATCAACTAGTGATCTCTGCCTGCAGCTCAGAAGAAACAAAAGGGACGGATAACGCAAAAATGTGGATCAACACTCTAATTCTGGGCACATATTGAAATCAGCTAGCAACCCCATGCACCTAACTCTTAGCAGGCATGACTACAGCATGTTGGTAGCCTTAGGATTTTTTGGAGCTATCTGCAGCCTATTATTTTGGTTTGACATTCTTCCAAATAATAACCTGATTTGTCTCCTCTTGCCTTCAGGCCATCACGCTCCAAACGATTCTCAGTGAGGGATATCATCCTCTCAATATTCAAGAGTCACCCTTTTACAGAAAAACCCTAGACTACCTATCAGTGGGACACGACAGAGGCACAATTCTGCCCCTGTCTCCCTTGGACCTAGCTAGATTCCACTTTCACTAACCCATGGAGCCATCCTGCCCTGACAGCTAGCAAGAGTCCAAGACCCACAGAACCACCACCACCAGCCCCGCACTATCAGAAGGAAAAAGGAAGCAGTTACAGAAGACTTATTTTCATTCATTTTCCCCAACGAATTAGGGTCTTGAACTCTTGATGGGGGAAATGTTATAGTAGGTAGTCAGGCAGACATGAGCAGGGCAGGAGAGCCCCCCTGACCAGGAATGTCAGGACACCATCAGGTAATGGTCAGGCAGTTGTTAACTGTTTTGCTGACATAATAATTAGTCACAGTTGGCACCAGGAAAGGCAGTCTCCCTATAGACAGAAAAACCTGAAACTGGTGATCAGCATCTTCCCAATAAGATCTCAGGAGTTGGGTGAGTGGGCTCAAGCATGCACATTAAAAGTAAAATGGCAGAGTCTAACTGGTATATGACCCTCTAGGAATATTTGGCTGGTAAGGGAAGAATGCCTCAAATGAGCATGCATACAACTCCAGTAAACACACTGCACATGCAGCCCCTCCCAAGCGGTAGCAGACCACTGTGCATGTAGACAGCCCCGCCCAATGGAAGAATCGGTGGAAAAGGGACATAAGATCCCAGAAGTAAGCCAACATATAAAGCCCTAAGTCAAAGGTCAAACAGTGCGCTTCATCCCGCAAGTCACCTGCTTGGCCCTCTTCCAAGTGTACTTTACTTCCTTTTCTTCCCACTCTAAAGCGCTTTTTTTGAGACAGAGTCTCACTCTGTTACCCAGGCTGGAGTGCAGTGGCATGATCTCAGCTCATTGCAACCTGCGCCTCCCAGGTTTAAGCAATTCTCTTGCCTCAATCTCCTGAGTAGCTGGGATTACAGGCACCCACCACCACGCCTGGCTAATTTTTTGTATTTTTAATACAGACAGGGTTTCACTGTGTTGGCCAGGCTGGTCTCAAACTCCTGACCTCTATTGATCTACCCTCTTCGGCCTCCCAAAGTGCTGGGATTACAGGCCTGAGCCACCGCACCTGGCCTCTAAAGCTTTTTAATAAACTTTCACTCCTGCTCTAAAACTTGTCTCGGTCTCTTCTTCTGCCTTATGCCCCTCAGTCTAATTCTTTCCTCTGGGGAAGCAAGAATTGAGGTTGTTGCAGACCCTTACAAATTTGCTGCAAGTAACATGCTTTGTTGTCTCATGATTTGGATACATTCTGCTACTAACAGTGTCTGGATTTTACTTAGCACCTACAGAAAAAGGGGATTGTACATATTATGGATCTCTGAGGGGTGGCTTCATATGTTATATTAATTCAAAACATTTTGGTAGAGCAGACAATGCATGTACATTTTGAAGTTTTAGAAAAAGAATTTCAGAAGTCTTGGCCTACAAAACTCACTACCTAAACTAGATCTTTAATAAAATAGTATATTAAAACTAAAATTAGGCTTTTAAAATTTTTCTGTTAATATCTGGAATAAAAAAACTTCAAATTCAAATAACGTGTATACTTTTATGAAATATAAACAAGCTTACAATATTACTTAGATTTTTGGTTCCTACACTGGATAATACTGCCGCCTTGTGGCAATGATAGACTACTGAAGCTTTTTAAAAAATAGTTTTAAAAACTGTATTTTCCCTGATGGTGTATCAATTAAAGTGGATTTTTGAATGTTTGATGGAGCCAGTCTTATTCTGAGTTTCCAAGATGGGGCAAATTGTTCTAATAAGTAACTTTAAGCAAAAATATATTTTGCGTATGTTCCCTTAAAAACACAAATGCATTATGTTCAAACCAAATATTATTTTAAAATAACAAAAAACAAATATCTAAATAGTCTTCAACGCATGTAAAGAAAATGCAAAATAAACTCGTTAACCAATTCTAGGTTATGAAATTGCATTTTTCTAACTTTACTTATTAAAGACATCAACCAGAAACCTATTACTTGCCTCTTCCTCCAAGAAAGCAAAAGACAAACTTCATCCAATCTCACAATAAATTATGCAAATTGTTTGATTTTGTAAAGTAAACAGCAAAATTACCTCATCTCTTTGCCTGAATTTCAGAAGAAAACAAAATAACTGGGTTTTCCTTGTTTTGTCTGGACTTTTAGCTGTGTGACCTATGTCAACTTACTTAACCTCTCTCGATCTGTTTCTTTACTTGAAAAATGGGGATAAGACTATCTCCTACCCCATTGGATTGTTATGAGGATTGGGTTAATACAAGTATTCCTTAGAACCATGCCTAACACTGCAGAAATAATTCACTAAATATTAGCTCTTGTTTTTAGTATAAGGTAGATGAAAAGCAGCAACATACCTACATCTAATTTGTATTAAGCTTGACATAATTCTGCGATGTGATTTGATTTGCTTGTCACGCTAAGAAGATGGGCTCTCTAGGTACAATTTATAGCTAGCATAAGCCTAATAGTGATTGGGCTCTCTAGTTTAAATTGAACGTTTCTATCTATGGGATGGGTCTTGGATACCCATCCCCATTCCTCTGTTTACTACACGTGGGGAACTGAGTTAACTTAAATTCCAGTTTATTGATAAAATGGGGAACAACAGTATATACATCACGGGGTTATTGTGATGATTAAGTGAGATAATACATATGTAAAGCCCTTAGCACAGCTGAGACTTAGAACAGCCTCAATCAAAGTTCTCTGGTATATTTAAAAAATAAACAATATTCCATCTGAAACAATATTAGAACCAGTTATATAATATACATTATTCAGGAAGTAAGCCAGCAGTTAAAATGATGGGAGAATGAATCCTGCAGAAGGAAGAGGTAAAAGGACAAAATACGTGACCTCACAGATAAGAGGATGGAGAATGAGTAGAATGTGTTTTAAGAGGCAGGACAGAGTAATAATAAAAAGCCTGGAAAGATAGATCTGGGTCTGAATTCAGGCTCTCCACCAACTTTTACGAAGCCTTGGGGAGGTAACCAAATCTTTTGAGTCAGTTTCCTCAGAACGGGGGATGATAGTGTTGGTATGGATTGGATAAGAAAATGAATCGTACATTCCACTAAGCCTAGGCCATAAAAGAACTTAGTAAATGTTAGCTGTAGCTATTATTATTACTATTATTTTTGAGACAGAGTTTCACTCTTGTTGCCCAGGCTGGAGTGCAATGGTGCGATCTCGGCTCGGCTCACTGCAATCTCCACCTCCTGGGTTCAAGCAATTCTCCTGCCTCAGCCTCCCGAGTAGCTAGGATTACAGGTGTCTGCCACCATGTCCAGCTAATTTTTTGTATTTTTAGTAGACGTGGGGTTTCATTATATTGGCCAGGCTGGTCTCGAACTCCTGACCCCAGGCGATCCACCCGCCACGGCTTTCCAAAGTGCTAGGATTACAGGCGTGAGTCACCATGTCCAGCCCAGCTATTATTATTTTTAAAGACGTATTATCTGCATTCCAGACTTGAGCACTTCACTGGGACTAGTTTCCAGTGTAAGTGAAAAATCAGGACGGAAATAGGAATTGAATTATTTGAGGAATGGGATGTAGGGAAAGGGAGGGGAGTTGGGGCAAGTTTCTTTGAATTGGCTAAAACAGCGGGGACTCTTGGGAGTGCCAAGCATAAGCTCTGAGACTCTTTCCAGCCTCTTGCTTCACCATTTTAAGCTCTTAAGAGAGGATGAAATAAAGTGGTCAAGCGAGCCCTGCTTTGCCCCTCCCTCACCACGCGGGGGAGCACGTAGGCACTTTGATACCGGCATTGTGACTTAGGCACTATGATGCAGTGACCATGCAAGGGCAGGCTGGTGGTTATACTCCTCCAAGATCATTTTCTTCTTCCCTTTACTTCCCCGCTTTCGGCAGGGAAAGGCCAGATGACAACCTGAAACTCAGCCAAGCTTGCAGCTGTGGTCGCTGGTGAAGTCAACTCCAGCAAATCGGAGGCATTAATGACCTTCCTGAGGTGGTCCTCTCTTTTTCCAATTCCCACCTTGATAGAGGGGTATCTCAAAGTGGGCGAATCAAGTTGAGAAGAACTGGAAACAGCCACAGCCAACAACCTCCCACCACAGCACTACAGTTAAGGGATCCTGTTCCATCAAGATAGCCATCAGCCAATCAGTTGTCTGCCAACCCATCATCTGCCACCCCATCCTTAGTCAACCAAGCAGGAATCAACACGGCATGAACCAATCAGGCACGAAGCAATCAAGTTTATCAGATTCGAACCAAACCGGCATAAACCAGCCAAGCACAAGCTCACTTGGTATGAACCAAATGGACGTGAACCAACAGAGTGCAAGCCTACATGAAATGAACCAAGTGGACACGAAACAACCAAGCATGAGCCAAGCTGGCATGAGGCAATCAAGTACAAGCCTACCGGACATAAACCAACCTGGCATGAAACAACCAGGCACATGGCAATTAGGTAGGAGCCAACCAGATATGCTGCAACAAGAACTGAGCCAACTAGTCCTGAGCAAAGCAGGCATAAGCCAACCAGGCCCATCGCAACCAGGCCCAAGCCAATCAGGCCCCAGCCAATCAAGCATGAGGCAAGTAGGCACGAACCAATCAGGTATGAGCCAACCAGTGGTGGGGCAACTAGACAGCCAGTCCGGTAGGAGCCAACCAACCACCAGACAAGTAGGCACCAGCCAATCAGGCACAAGCCAAATAAGCCTGAGCCAACCAGGCACATGGCAAACAGGACTGAGCCAACCAGTCCTGAACCAACCAAACATGAGTCCACCAGGCATGTGGCAACCAGGCATGAGCCAGCAAGTCCCAAGCCACCCAGACATGAGTCAACCAGGCATGAGTCAGCAAGTCCCAAGCCACCCAGACATGAGTCAACCAGGCATGAGTCAGCAAGGTCCCGCAACCAGGCATGAGGCAACCAGGCACTAGCCAATCATGTAAGAACCAAACAGACATGGGCCAACCAGGTGCAAACCAATCAAGTTTATCAGATTCCAACCAAACAGGTATAAACCAGCCAAGCCCAAGCTTACATGGTGTGAACCAATTGAACATGAACCAGCTGAGTGCAAGCCTATATGAAATGAACCAAGTGGATATGAAACAACCAAGCATGAGCCAAGCTGGCATAAGGCAATCAGGTACAAGCCTACCAGACATAAACCAACCTGGCATGAAACAACCAGGCACGTGGCAATTAGGTAGGAGCCAACCAGGCAGGAGCCAACCAGGCATGTGGCCACAAAGCCTGAACCAACTATTCCTGAGCAAAGCAAGCATAAGCCAACCAGGCCCATCTCAACCAGGCCCAAGCCAATCAGGCCCCAGCCAATCAAGTACGAGCCAAGCAGGCACGAACCGATCAGGTATAAGCCAAACAGTGAGGTGGCAACTAGACAGGCGACAGTCAGGTAGGAGCCAACCAAGCATGAGACAAGTAGGCACCAGCCAATCAGGCACAAGCCAATGAGTCACATGGCAAGCAGGCCTGTGCCAACTGGCCCGGAGCCGACCAAACATGAGTTCACCAGGCATGTGGCAACCAGGCATGAGCCAGCAAGTCCCCAGCCAACTAGGCATGAGACAACCAGGCACTAGCCAATCAAGAAAGAACCAAACAGGCATGAGCCATCCAGGCAGGGGTCATCCAGGCATATGGGAACCGGGGCCGAGTCACTCAGGCCGGAGCCAACAAGAGCTGGACTAATTAGTACTGAGCCAACCAGGCCTGAGTCAACCAGGCAGGAGCCAGCCAAGTGTGAGCCAAATGGGCATGAGGCAGACAAGCATGGATTATTTTCAAATAAGACCTGCAGAGGCTGGAGACTGCCCAGAAATTTTGCGACTGATTAAAGTAAGCCCATTTTTATTACATGGAGCCTCACGGCATTAGTGTAGGGCTGAAAGAGTAAGAGAGGCATAGTTGGGGTTCGAATTCTGCCTCTGCTAGTTATGTGTACATAACCTCTGGTAGTTACTTAACCTCTTTACTCTTCATTTTCTGCATCTAAAATTAAGACTATAACAATATATATCTCAAAAGACTGTTGTTATGAGACAGTAACATAAAATGATTACACATAAATTGCTTGGCATATAGTAAGGGGCTCAAAAAGTTATAGAGGAACCAATTCCTGGAAATTTTAGGGACTGAATGTGTTCTGTTTCCTGGGGAAATTTTAACTTTAAAAGAGTATCTTAGAGAAAAGAAATGCTTACCTTAAACAAATGACCCACCAATGATAGAATTTCATATTTTAGTGGCTAAGATTTTGGGGTAGGAATCTCATTGCTTCTAAGGCCACACCTACTTGTTGAAACTGATGATCAGCTAACCGAAAAAACAATAGTCACATGCAACAAATTTTCCATACATTCTCAGACAGTTCATTGATCACTGAAGCCCAGCCACAGACAGCCCTCAGGAGCCAAGCAGCTGGGTTACATATTTCTCATTTAAATGTTTATTTGAATGGCTTCCTTGGAAATCATTCCAGTTGATTAAAGGGGATAAAATATCTAGTAGTTCACAGTTACTGTGCTGAAGTTCTGTGGTGCTGAAAGCACTCATTTATATGATGGACAACCTACACAATTCCATATAAAGCGGTAGACTAAGTTCTTTATGGAGTAAATATGTGGCTGGAGCAAGGCACAGATTATAGATATGCAGACCTCATAAGTGTTTTGTAATGAAAATGTTTTAATATCCTCACTAATATATTTAAATCTTGTCTAAATCAGGCCAAGTTTGTGTTCCCTTTGGAGAGTGTGTTTTAATGGCCAAAATAAAATACCCATAGTGTTCTAGTGAAATCCACCTGTGGAAGTGATTCTAGGCCTGGTTACAGATCTGTAAGAACTGGGTTATCTGTCGTTTTATGGCTTACATTCTATTCCATTTCCACAAATTCTTACATCATTTCTCTAACTGGCATTAATCTGAATGATTAGATAACCTATCAAAATACTATGCCCAACAGATTATTACAGATTCACATTCTTCCAGGTGGTAGAAAACATTTTTAAAAGAGTTTTTTGTAGTTCTAGCATCTGACACCTGGTTGGCAATTAATAAATTTATTATTGAATGATGATCTCTTTACCTGGACAAATGTACTTTTCCTAGCTTTCCAAGCAATGCCCATTGTCATCACCAAGGGAATAATACATCACTAGATTACCCCATTTCAGTGAAACTATCTGTAGGGTTTCTGGCCACATTTACTTTTTAATTTGTCACATGTATCTGATAATACGTAAGATGTTTATTGGGAGTAATTTTAATGAGTATTCATTGTGGAAAAATAATAGAAAAGCTAAATTACTTACTGTCTCACATACATGTATATAATGATTAATTGGCTTTGAGTTTTATGTTCTTCTTAATATTTTATGTCCATTTGTCCTAACTCCTGTTCATTGCTAAGTTTGCAGAACAGTCTCTCTTTGCAGAGGAGTTTATTAGAGTTTGAACTACAGTAATTGCTTAGCTGAATATATTGCAGGTTTTATTGACTGTTCCATTCCAAGTATCCTCTGTATGAACTCATTTTATACTGTTCTCAATCACCACATCACAGCATTATTTGGGAGCCTAGTCATTTCATTGCCAGGCAGCCATAACTTCTTGCTTACCAGAATTTCTAAAGCTTTATATTGTGGTGGTCCCTAAAGTGTGGTTTTGGACCATTGGTGAACCACAGATGGTGCTGAGTAGTATTAATATTTTATTTTTCTTCATTGTACAAACATTGAATGCATATTAGGGGAAGATTATACACCAAGTAGTATAAAAGATATAAGGATTCTTGGATTACAGTCTCTACCCTCAAGGAGCTTACAGCGTCTTAGGGGAGGTATCAACATAAATATTGTCCTCCCTGATCAATCCATTCTTTACACAGCAGTCAAAATGCTTAAAATTCCATTGAGATCCTGGCTGTCTTGAGAATAAAATCCAAACTTCTTACTAATGCTCTATGTAATCTGGTCCTTGCTGTTCTCCTGTATTTTAAAAGCTTATTTCCATTAAAAGTTTAATGCAATTCCAGTCAAAATCTCCAAATTTTCACATAGAAACATTTTAAAAATCCAAAAAAGAAGAGTAATGAGGGGAGATGATCTATACCAGATATTATAAAACTGTAAGTAATTAAAATACTATGGTAACTAGTGGACAGATAGATCAATGGGACAGAAAGGAGAGTCCAGAAGTTCTCTTAAGCATGCAGTCAGCCTTCTGTATCCATGGCTTCTACATCTGTAGATTCAAACAACCATGGATTGAAAATATTTGTAAAAATTGCAACTGTACTGAACATGTACAGACTTTTTTCTTGTCATTATTCCCTATACAATACAGTATAACTATTTACATAATATTTACATTGTATTAGATATTATAAGTAATCCAGAGATGATTTAAGGTATATGAAAGGATATACATAGGGTATTGCAAATACTCTGCTATATAAGGGGCTTGAACACGCTCAGATTTTGGTATCCTGGGGCTGAGGGAGCAGGTCCTGAAACTAATCTCCCATGAATACAAAGGGATGACTGTAAATGAGGATGTAGTATATGATAAAAGGGACATGTCGAGTCATCCAGGATGGGTTATTCAGTAAGTGCTGTTGGGATAATTGGGAGGAAAAGATAAAGGTGAAATTCTACCTAACTTCTTACACCAAAAAAAGTTGAACAAATCAATTATTAATATTATGATCTTAAAAAGAAAATGAGTGAATACTTTTTGCTTTCCAAGCATGAGATATAAACCGTGAAGGAAAAGAACCTGAATATGTAAAAAAAAAAAAAAAAAAAAAAAAAACATGATAGAGTAAAAAGCCACAATAAAAAAGCCTCAAGTTAAAATGGCAAAAACATCTCACAGGCAAACACCTGAGAGACTTCTCTGTAAAGCCTATGAGCTTCATAATACATAAACTTTATGACAGCTGCCTTGAATGCTCAGTAACCTTTTTTGCTTTACTTCCCAGTTTCTGGCTGCATTCAAGGTTACTAATCTGGATAATTGACATTCATATGTGTGAGGTATCAACATAGTTAATCTCTCTAATAATATTTATACATCCTTTTGTTGCATTACTGTTTTAGATTTTGTTTCTAGATGACTGGGATTAAGTCTGACTAACTTTTAACACTGCCCAGGATATCACATGTCAATAAATGTTTAATACAAATTTTATGATTATTATCATCTTAATAATTTATTGCTAAATCATAAACTGAAGGTTTTATCTACTTTGACAGGAATTGGCTGCCTGTGAAAGCATGCTAGATGCAATGGAGTTAACAGCAGCTGGTAAGATACTTTGTGGTATTTTCAGAGCAAGAAAAAAAAAACACACAGCACTACTTAGATATGTGGAAGCTATTCCTCTTGGTACACAAAGATGACACCATTACTAGCATGTACAGGACATACATTTGATAGCTTTGTCAGAGCTCCACTATTTTATTTTCCTTATTTTTAGTACAAAATTGATACTTAAGAGCTCTTACACCTTTACAGCTGCAATAGACCAGCTGGTTTTCAGAATGTAAAATGAGGAGCGTTACTGGTCAAAAAAGTATAATTTAACACCCAGTATGTTGGTAGTAGCTTGATACAATGAAATCGATAAAAGCAAAATGATTTAAAATATTTTCAAAGTATTTACTACATGTCGATAGCAAGATTAATAGGATAGGCCAGTGATTTGTGAAGAATTAGAACATTTTAGGGAGTAAATATGAAGATGAAAAGATTATTAATGTATATAAAATTACAAATGGCAAAGACTAGGTGAAGACAGTTATCAAAATCTAGAAGAATTGATGAAGGATAACTCCCTGAAGTTGAATACTTCAGAATGCATGTAATAAACTGAGAACATTCTACCAAGGAGATAAATGGTTTCACTATAATACTGGGTGACAGATTCAGAAGGAAGTTCTGGGATGTTTGTGGAGTCTTTTGCGCCATGCCCTAACAAATGAGTCTTAGTGCCTCGGTCAGAAATAGAACCCTGAACCGCATAGATCATGGATCAGTCGTCTTATGTGATGATACTTATGTTCTTATACTTGACAATTAACACCACTAGAATGTTAACTAAATAGTAATTTTGTTAGCTTAAAAGAAATAGTAAGAAATACAAAGTTGAAAGTAATGTACACTCTATGAAAGCAGTACTCAAACTGAAGCAGCATAACAAATTGAGCATCCCTAACCTGAGAATCTGAAATCTGAAATGCTCCAAAATCAGAAACGTTTTGAGCACTGGCATTACACTCAAAGGAAGTGTTCATTGGAGCATTTCAGATTTCAGATTAGGGATGCTCAACTGTTGAGTATATAATGACATATTTTAAAAATCAAAAACATATCAGACATTCAAAACACTTCTGGTCTCAAGAATTTTGGATAAGGAATACTCAATCTGTACTATGTTAAGATAATGCCCCTACACTATTCGTTGTAGTTAGAAAAATACTGCTCAGGGTAATATGTAACAGTCATAACTAAAATACTTTGTATACTCCAGCATCCTGCCTTAGGATTTCAGTATATATTTAAATTGCAGTAATTTCATAATGTCCTCAGTCCTGTTTTTATCTTAAAATGTCCTTATGTACTTATATAGAGGCCAGTGAGAGATTTGATTTTTGTTTACTCTTACCTATTGTTGCAAACTTTTAAAAAATGTGATTAAATACACATATCATTTTAACTATTTGTAACTGTATAATTCAGTGACATTCAATACATCCATTGTTGTGCAACCAGCACCACTATCCATCTCCAGACCTTTCCATCACCCAACTGAAACTCTGTAATCATTAAACAATAACTCCCCATTGCCGGCCGACCTCCCCCTAGGCTCTCATAACTACTATTCTACTTTCCATCTCTACCAATTTGCCTATTCTAGGTACCTCGTATGACTGGAAACATGTAATATTTGTTCTTGTGTGTCTGTCTTATTTCACTTAGCATAATGTTTCAAGTTTCATCCAAGTGGTAGCCTGTATCTGAATTTCTTTCCTTTTCAAAGCTGAATAACATTCCATTGTGTATATATAAAATGTGATTTTATATATATAACTTTATTTATCCTTTTATACATTTTGGCTGTTTCCAAATTTTGGCTATTGTGAATAATGCTGCTGTGAAACATTGGTGTACAAATATCTGTCTGAGTTGCTGCTTTCATTATTTTGGCACATACCTAGAAGTGGATTTCTGGATCATATGATAATTTTTTTTTTTTTTTTGAGGAGTCTCCATACTGTTTTCCACAACAGCTGCATCATTTTACATTCTCATTAGCAAAGCACAAGAGTTCTAATTTCTCCACATCCTCATCAACACTTATTTTTGTTTTTTTGTAATACCCATCCTAGTCTGTATGAAGTGCTATCTCACTGTGTTTTGATGTGCATTGCACTAATGATTAGTGATGTTGAACACCTTTTCATGTGCTTATTGACCCTTTGTATATCTTCTTTGAGAAGTGTCTATTTATGATATTTCCACATTTTGGAATTGAGTTGGTTTTTTGTTGTTGTTGAATTGTAGGAGTCCTTTATATAGTCTGGATATTAACCCCTTATCGGATGTTATTTCCAAATACTTTCTCCCATTCCATGGGTTGCCTTTTTGTTCTTGATATTGTCTTTTCACATACAAAGTATTTTGTTTTTGATAAAGTCTAATTTATTCATTTGTCATTTGTGCTTTTGGTGTTATATCCAAGAAATAATTGCCAAATCCAATGTCTTGAAGATTTTCCATGTTTCTTCTAAGAGTTTTATAGATTGAGCACTTATGTTGAGGTATTTGATCTATTTTGAGTTACATTTTGTACATGCTGTGAAGTTAAGGGTCCAACTTCATTATTTGCATATAGATACTCAGTTTCTCTAGTACTATTTGTTGAAAAGACAGTCCTTTTCCCCATGAATGGTCATAGCACCCTTGTCAAAAATCAATGGATCAGATATGTGAGGGTTTGATTCTGAGGTCTCTATTCTGTTCCATTGGTCTATATGTCTGTCCTTTTGTCACTACCCTACAGTATTAATTGCTGTAGCTTTGTAATAAGTTTCAAAGTCAGGAAGTCTGAGTCCTCCAATATTATTTTTGGTTTTCAAGATTGTTTTGGCTCTTCGGGGCCCCCTGGAATTCCATATGAATTTGAGGATCAGCTTTTCTGTTTCTGTGAAAAAGGCTGTCAGAATTTTAATAGGGACTGCATTAAATATGTAGATCATTTTGAATAGTATTGGCATCCTACCAATGTTGTCTTCCTATGCATATATAGGTTTATTTTTTTTTAATTTCTGTGGATGTTTTCCAGTTTCTTTCAGCAATGTTTTATAGCTTTCAGTATACAAGTTTTTAACCTCCTTGATTAGATTTATTCCTAGGTATTCAATTCTTTTAGGGGTTATTGTAAGTGGTACTACTTTCTTAATTTATTTTTTGGTTTGTTTTTTGCTGCTATATAGAAACACAACTTATTTTTGTTTGTTGATCTTGTACCCTGCAACTTTGCTGAATTTGTTTATAGCTCTAGAAGATTTCTCTTAGATTCTTTGGAATTTTCTCTATATAGAATCATGTGATCTGCAAATAGAGATAGTTTTAGCTTTTCCTTTCTACTATGGATTTTTTTTTTTTTTTTTTTTTTTGAGACAGAGTCTTTCTCTCTTGACCAGACTGGAGTGCACTGGCACAATCTCAGCTCACTGCAACCTCCGCCTCCCAGGTTCAAGCGATTCTCCTGCCTCAGCCTCCCGAGTAGCTGGGATTAGAGGCGCATGCCACCATGCCTGGCTAATTTTTGTATTTTTAGTAGAGATGGAGTTTCACCATGTTGGCCAGACTGGTCACGAACTCCTGACCTCAGGTGATCCACCTGCCTTGGCCTCCCAAAGTGTTGGGATTACAGGCGTGAGCCACTGGGCCTTGCCTATGAATGGTTTTTATTTATTTTTCTTGTCTAATAGCTCTGGCCATAACTTCCAGTACAATGTTGAATACCAGTGGTGAAAGTGGGCATCTTTGCCTTCTTCCTAATCTTAAGGGGGAATGTTTTCAGTCATTCACCATTAAGTGTAATGTCGTTTTCATAAGTACACTGTATCATGTTGAGGAATGTCCCTCTATTCCTAGTTTTATAAAAGCTTTTATCTTGAAAGTGTTGCGCTTTAGTCAAATGCTTTTTTGGCATTCATTGATTTGATTTTGTGGGTTTTCCCCCTTTGTTTCATTAATATGATGTATTAAATTGATATTCTTATGTTGCTGCACCCTTACATTCCTAGGATAAATCACACTTGATTATGGCGAATAATCCCTTTAATATGCTGTTGGGTTCAATTTCCAATTTTGTGGAGAAGTTTTTAACCTATATTATTAAGGAATATTGGCCTGTAACTTTCTTCTAATATCTTTGACTGCCTTTGGAATCAGAGTAATGCTGACCTCACAGAATTAATTATAAAGTGCTTCCATCTCTTAAATTTTTGGGAAGAGTTAGAGGAAGACTGGTATTAATTATTCTGTAAATGTTTGGTAGAATTCACCACTGATGAGGCCATTTGGTTCCTTACTTTTTTTTGTTGGGAGATCTTTGATTACTGATTCAAAGTCTTGCAGGTCTGTTGAGATTTTCTGTTTCTTCTTAAGTAGGTTTAGGTAATTTATATGTTTGAAGGAATATGTCCATTTCTTCTAAGTTTTCTAATTTGTTGTTATATAAATCATAATATTTTTATACTCCCTTTTAATGTTGTAGTGTTGGCAGTAATGTCCTTATTTTCTTTTCTGATTTTAATTATTTGCATCCTCTTTGTCAGTCTAGCTGTCAATTTTGTTGATCTTTTCAAATAATCAACCTTCATTGATTTTCTCCATGTTTTTACATCCTCTGTTTTATCTCTATCCAATTTTTATTATTATCTTCTTTCTGCAAGCTTTGGGCTTAGTTTGCTCTTCTTTGTCTAGTTCCTTAAGGCATAAAGTTAGATTATTGTTTTAGATCATTTTTTAAAATAGCATTTACAGCTATAATTTTCCCTCTGAGCACTACTTTCACTACATCTCGTAAGCGTGTTTGTTGTGTTTTCATTTTCATTCATCTAAATGTTTTCCTATTTCCCTTATACTTTCCTCTTTGACCCATTGGTTGTGTACAGTGTGTTGTTTAATTCCCACATATTTGTAAATTTCTCAAATTTTTTTCCCGCTGATTTCTAGTATCATTGTACTGTCATTAGAAAAAATATTGTGTGTGATTTTCATATTTTAAAATTTATTAAGACTTGGTATGTGACCTAATGTATCTATCCTAAAGAAAGTTCCATGTGTACTTGAGGGAAAAAAATGTGTACTCTGTTGTAGTTGGATAGAACTTTATGTATATGTCTGTTAGGTACAATTGGTCTATAGTGTTCAAGTCATCTACTTTTCTGTCTGGTTGTCCTATATATTACTGAAAGTGGGGTATTGAATCTCCTATTATTGTCTTGCTGTGTACTTCTCTCGGTTCTGTCAGTGTTTGCTTCATATATTTTGGAACTGTGATGTTCAATGCATGTATATTTATAAATGTTATATGTTCTTGGTGAATTAACCCCTCTATCATTTCATAATGTACTTTGTCTCTTGTAACTGTTTTTGACTTAAAGTCTATTTTGTCTGATACTAGTATAGCCACCCTAGCTCTCTTTTAGTTACTCTTTGCATGAAATATATTTTTCCATCATTTCATTTTCAACGTATTTGTGACTTTGGATCTACAGTATGTCTCTTGTAGACAGTATATACTTGGATCATTTTTTTGTTTGTTTGTTTTCCTTAATCTATTCTGGCTATCTCTGTGTTTTGGCAGGAGTGTTTAATCCATTTACATTTAATTACTGATGAGGAAGGACTCGCCTGTACTATTTAACTGTTTTCCATATGCCTTAAAGCTTTTGGTTGTCCCTACTTTCGTCCATTAGTCCTTTTTTTGTGTTTTATTTTTGTAGTGAAACATTTTGATTCCTTCTCATTTCCTTATGTGTATATTTTATAGACTTTTTTTGTTTACCATGGGGATATTTGATGGTTACAACAATCTAATTTTGATTTAAACCAACTTAACTTCAATAGCATACAAAAATTCTTCTTATATATATCTCTGTCCCCATCTTCTGTTATTGATGTCAGGAATTACATCTTTACACATTGTGTGCCCAATAACATACATTAGGCTGGGCATGGTGGCTCACGCCTGTAACCTCAGCACTTTGGGAGGCTGAGGTGGGTGGATCACTTGAGGGCAGGAGTTTGAGACTAGCCTGGCCAACATGGCAAAACCCCATCTCTACTAAAAATACTTAAAAAAAATTAGCTGCGCATGGTGGCAGGTGCCTGTAGTCCCAGCTACATGGGAGGCTGAAGCACAGGAACTGCCTGAACCCAGGAGGCAGATTGCAGTGAGCTGAGATCATGCCACTGCACTCCAGCCTGGGTGAGCAAGACTTGTCTCAAAAAAATAAAAAATAATAATTATTTTTATCCATTTGTCTTTTAGACAATGTAGAAAACAAAACGTGGAGTTAGGGTCATCTCTCAGTATATGCAGGAGATTGGTTCCAGGACCCACTGCATATGCCCAAATACATGCATACTCAAGTCCCGCAGTGAGTCCTACTGAACTCACATATATGAAAAGTCAGTCCTCCGTATATGTGGGTTTCTCCTCCAATGAATATTGTTTTTGATTTGTGTTTGAAAAAAAATCCATGTGTAAGTGTACTTGCATAGTTCCAACCCATGTTGTTCAAGGGTCAACTGTATAAACATAATTACAATACTACCTCTTATAATTGCTCATATATCTGTCTTTACCAGAAATCTTTATTCATACAACTTTTAGTTACTGTCTAGATTACTTTCATTTCAACCTGAAAGACTCCTTTTGGCATTTCTTTTTGGGCAGGTCTAATGGTAATGAATTCCTCCAGTTTCTTTTTTTTTGCGGGGGCGGGGAAGGGGTGTCTGTAATTTCTCCGTCATTTTGAAGGACAGTTTTGGTGGATATAAAATTCTTAGCTGACAGTCCCCACTCCTCCCGCTCCTCAGACTTTAAATATCAATCCACTGCTTTTTGGCTTCCAAGGTTTCTGACAGGAAATCAGATAGTAATCTAATTGAGGACCCTCATATATGACAAATTGCTTCTCTTGCTGTGTATTCTCTGTCTGGTTTTTGAGACTTTCATTATAATGTGTCTTGGTGTGGATTTCTTTGGGTGTATCCTACTTAGAGTTTGTTAAGCTTCTTGTATTTGTAGATTCATGTTTTATGTCAAATTTTGTTTTCAGCAGTTATTTTTTCAAATTCTCATTCATTCTCATTCTCTCTCTGTCTCTCTCTCTCTCTCCTGTCCCACAAGATATATCCTGTTCCACTTAATGGTGATGATGTCCCACAGACACTTTTGGCTTTGTTCACTTTTCCTCATCCCTTTTCTGTTTTTCAGACTCAATAATTTCACCTGGTCTAGTTTCAAGTTCACGGATTCTTTCTTCAACTTATTCAAATGTGTCTTTGAACCCCTCCAGTATAGTTTTTTTTTGTTGTTTGTTTGTTTGTTGGTTTTCCATTTCAGTTATTGTACTTTTAAGCTTCAGAATGTTAGGGGGAGGATTTTTGTAAATTTATATCTATGTTATTTTGTTTATATATTTTTTTTCCTGTATTTGTGCATGTCTTCTTTTATCTCTTTGGGCATCTTTAAGACAGATGTTTTAAGTTATTTAGTAAGTCAAACATCTGGCTTTCTTCAGGTATGTTTTTTGTTAATGTATTTTATTCCTTTGAATGACCATCGTTTCTTGTGATCTTTGTTGAAAGCTAGACTTTGAAACTAATACTATGGTAACTTTGGAAATCAGATTATCCTTTCCCCCCAGGATTTGATGGAGTTTATTTTAAAGCATTACAGGGTGTCTCTGTGTCACAAATCAGCCTGAGTTGAAAGCTTAATGTGTTCTCAGGTCCCCTCTGTGTCTTTATGTAGTCACACATGGTAACTTTCTAAATTCCCCTGTATATATGTTTTTAATTCCCAAATCTCTCACAAAACAAGGCAGCTCCTTTAAATCTCCTGGAAGCCACTTCAGCTTGTGGGGGTTTCCAAGTCCTCACCTCAGTGATCAGAGTAACAATACACAGTCAAAACACAGAACTTCAGTATTTTGAGGACAAGATGTTTATTGATCACCCTGGTTCCAGCAAACTGCTACAGAAATACAGGTTGCTGTTCCCATGGAGTAGATGGTGTTGAGTACTGGGTAGCTGCCACCTCACTGATGGCTGAATTTGATCCAAATTAACAGCAGTTGACCAGTCAGGCTGTCTCCTGTAAGTTGCAAATGTTCAGATAAACTCCAGAGTTCCAAAATACTCACTTTAGTTTCTGTCAATACAATTGCTATCCAGGTGGCTAAATTCCTAGTGCTTCCTATCCACCATCTCCTTCTCTGCTGTAAACTTTCTGACATACTATATATGAATTGATATTTCAGATTTACTCAGAGATGGCTTTGGGGACAATCCCCTTTTCTACTGCCTGATTGCAGAAGTAAATGAGCAACAAAAACCATCAGGTAGAGTAAATCTTTCTTCTCCAGTTTAATCTGCAATATATTTTTTCCATGCTGAAAAATAGTACAGTTTTGCAGCATATAATTACTATTAAGCAGAAGAGAAAAGAATGTGTATAAACCCAGTTTTTTGGTAAAGAATATGCATGGTATGTACTTATGTTTGTATAAGCATTATTATTATCATAATTTTTTAAGAGAAGGGGTCTTGCTCTGTCACCCAGGCTGGAGTGCAGTGGCATGATCATGACTCACTGCAGCCTCCAACTAAACTCCTGTGCACAAGTGTCTCAGCCTTCCAAGTAGCTGGGACTACACATATGTGCCACTATGTCCAACTAGTTTAAAATTATTTTTTGTAGAGACAGGGTATCACAATGTTGCCCAGGCTGGTCTCAAATTCCTGAGCTCAACTGGCCCTCCTGCCTTGGCCTCCCAAAGCACAGGGATTACAGCCATGAGCCACTGTGCCCAGCTAAAATTTTTTGGAAGATCATACACCACACTATAAAAAGAAGGCTTATATCTTAAAGGTTATATTTTAAAGGACTTAAGTCCTCTACACTATAAGTTTTTGTACCGTTATTTTTTTTTCAATGAGCATTTATTACTTTAATAGTTAAACAAACACCAAAAGACATTCAATTTGGGGGTAAAGAACTGGCTAAGATTCAACACAACCTTTCTACACCCTTTCTACTCCCTTCCTAGGCAAATTGACTGTTGGATGTGCCATGTACTACTTTACATATGACTCATGGATTGGCAAGGTACTTTACCTAGAGGACTTTTATGTCACACGAGCTTACCAAGGTAAAACTAAAATTTATGATATTTATTGGGTGAAATTCAGCCCCCGATATTTCACGTGGGTCCTTTTCTATGTTCCCTAAGTGTTGACTGGTCTGAGAAATAAAGGGAAAGAGTACAAAAGAGAGAAATTTTAAAGTTGGGTGTCTGGGGGAGACATCACATGTAGGCAGGTTCCATGATGGCCCCCTAAGTTGCAAAACCAGCAAGTTTTTATTAGTGATTTTCAAAAGGGGAAGGAGTGTACGAATAGTGTGTGGGTCACAGAGATCACATGCTTCACAAGGTAATAAAATATCACAAAGCAAATGGGGGCAGGGTGAGATTACAGGACCGGGGTGAAATTAAAATTGCTGATGAAGTTTTGGGCACGCATTGTCATTGATAACATCTTACCACGAGACAGGGTTTGAGAGCAGACAACCAGTCTGACCAAAATTTATTAGACAAGAATTTCCTCATCCTAATAGGCCTGGGAGTGCTACAGGAGATCAGGGCTTATTTCATCCCTTATCTGCAACCATAAAAGACAGACATTCCCCAAGCAGCCATTTCAGAGGCCTCCCCTTAGGAACGCATTCTGATTCTCAGGGATGTTCCTTGCTGAGAAAAAGAACTCAGCGATATTTCTCCTATTTGCTTTTGAAAGAAGAGAAATAAGGCTCTGTTCCACCCAGCCCACAGGCAGCCAGACTTTAAGGTTATCTCCCTTGTTCTCTGAACATCGCAGTTATCCTGTTCTTTTTTCAAGGTGCCCAGATATCATATTGTTTAAACAATTTGTGCAGTTAACGCAATCATCATAGGGTCCCTGAGGTGACATTCATCCTCAGCTTATGAAGATGATGGGATTAAGAGATTAAAGTAAAGACAGGCATAGGAAATCACAAGAGTATTGATTGGGGAATTGTTAAGAGTCCATGAAATCTTCATAATTTATGTTCAGAGATTGCAGTAAAGACAGGAATAAGAAATTATAAAAGTATTAATATGGGGAACTAATAAATGTCCATGATATCTTCACAATTTATGTTCTTCTGCTGCAGCTTCAGCTGGTCCCTCCGTTCAGGGTCCCTGACTTCCCACAACATCTCTCCTTTTCTTTTTATATAAATGTGCCATGGTGATGAAGGCTTGTTCATTCTCTCAATTTTGACGCAGGATTCCTTGACTGGTCTGGCACACTAAAGACAAGCCGATTAAACAGAGAAACATAATTCCAAAATTTACTACAGTTGAGCCCCCAATAGACTTAACCCAAGTCGTGGGGTTTAGTCCATAAAGATTTTCTGCCACCTGATCTAAGGCCTCAGCTCCAGGCACAATGGATAAGTGAGCTTGAAAGCCTTCAAAAATTTGTTTCTTTAATTTAGTTATGTCCAATGATAAATTATCTTCCCTACCCAGAAGGTGTCCTTTGGCCATTTCCCATGAATGATCAATCTTGTTATAGGAATACAGGGTGATACAGAAAGCAGAGGTATTCCAACCGCACTGCATTTGCATGTGATGTTCGAGACTCACTACGCGATCTCCAAGCCAAATTAACAGACGGTCTTAAATCATTAATTTGATTAGCCAATTTTTGATCAATGCCTTGTTGAGAATTCCACATTTGGGTGGAATTGGCTTGCCAATTATTAACCAAATGAGCCGTTTGAATAGATTGATGTAATGTCATTCCGGTAGTGCTGGCCAGTGCAGCAACTGTAATTAGGCCCATGATCACAGCGATTGAAGTGAAGACAAATCTCTTAGATCTTTTTAGAATTTGCTGTAACACTTCATTAATTAAATGTATTGAGGGGGAGGATTCCCAAGGTCTGGGCAAAGTTACCAGAATCCAGATTCCTTCTTGAGCTCGAACCAACATTACACTTTTCCTAGAGTCAAAATGGGAGTTAACACAAGTGTATAACTGACAATTAATGCATTGGACAGTTTGATTGTTCATCCAAATTTTGTTATTTCCCACTAACAGCATGTAAGGAGGCTTAACACAACTCCGTATGGGAACAGTCAGGTTGGAAGTAAGTAAAGCAGAATGTCCAGATCTACGTTGATACTGAGAGATGGGGGCGGTAGTGGGAACAACAAACAGAATAGTTTCCCCTTCCCATACTCGCAGTCCAGACATGGCAATAGCCAATTTCCAAAGTTCTGGGTGTTCTGGGCTCAGAATGGGGAGTATCATACGAGGTCTGGGTGGGGGGGGGGCGTTAATGCCTTTATCTTCCCATTTTAAGGGAAAGAATGAGCTGAACCTCCTATGCAAAGTAGAATGATGATTCTTGTTCTCCCAATAAGAAATAAAATAAGTAGCCTCCAGGCATTCCTTTCCGCCAGAGGAGCAATTGTTTTTTAAATAGCCCTTGGGTGCCCAGTCTATTACTAAACCATATGAGTCATTTTTTAATATGACTGCATGTGAGTTAACAGTCTTCCCAAATTAAAGTTTTAGATGGGCCCTCAAAATTTTTAGGGCATGGTTTTCCTGCAGATTTATATTGAAAGTATGGGATATCTCCCATTACTCCCCCTTTCATTTGTTTTAAAGTAGAAAGGGAGAGGCCAGAGATCAAATATCCCGGTTCCTCTGTAACTGATCTCTCCGGAAGATAAGCAGCCCAGACTTGAGTTTCTAGATGGATACAACCAGGTGCATGTCCGAGGCACAGAGGTGGGTATTTATAACCCATGATAACATTAAATGCAGTGCCTTCTTCTCCTAGTTGAGCAGGGCAATGGTCATCTGTAGCTCCAGGCATCCACACACTATTGTTAGTGTAGATTTCTGCAGAAGCATCAATCCAGGTGAGAGGTCGAATAAATGGAGGAAAAGGCTCATAAGTCCAGTAAGAATAATTTTGTGTAGCAGGTAAATCAGTGTGAGAGGAAACTGGTGAGACAGAAAGTATAAGGAGGAGAATCATTAAATAAAACCTAGTGTAAGTGAGATTGAGGGCTGAAGGAGGAAGAGAACAGAGGGATGTTATTTTCAGGCTAATAGAAATGGTGAGATTTTTAGGTTTGTAAGGAGAAAAAGAAAGGTAATCAGGAGAAGTGGGATTAGTTAGATGGGTCTCCGTTGCCATCAGGGAGGACTGAATCAGACCCATTGTGATTTGGTGTGCCTGCTTCTGAGGAGTTGGCACAGATCTCACCATGTCTGAGGGCGGTCTCTGACATGGACGTCTTTTCCATGTGGTTTTCGTTGTCAGTATTCACCCGAAGCTTGAGTCTCCTGGTGGGTACCCAGACAGGGGATTGATGATCTCCTGGCGAAACACAAGTATATCCTCTTCCCCACATTATAATTGTGCCAGGTTCCCAGGTATTAATTTGGGAGTTTTTCCATAACACTGGCTTGCCTTCGTTTAGGGAGAATTTTTTGCCTGTATAATGGCATTCGGCTGCAGTTAGATTATTATCTTTAGGAACATTTAAAAAATGTAAACAATGCCAAATATAATTGGGAGTGGGGGGTAGTTAAATCATGTTTTTGCTGTTCAGACTCTTTGGACAATTGGGTTTTTAAAGTGTGATTGGCCCGTTCCGCCACAGCCTGTCCCTGAGGATTGTAAGGGATTCCAGTAATATGGGAAATCCCCACTGTTGCATAAATAAATCAAAAGCCTTACTAACATATCCGGGGGTGTTGTCTGTCTTTATTTGATATGGAAGCCCCATAACTGCAAAGAAAGAATACAGATGTTTTTAAACATGGGCCGTGCCTTCCCCTGTTTGGCAAGTAGCCCAGATAAAACCTGAGAAGGTATCTACAGAAACATGTACATATGACAGTCTGCCAAAGGAGCTAACATGAGTTACATCCATTTGCCGTAAAGCATTAGGAGTTAGGCCTCTGGGATTAACGCCAGGTTCCTGATTTGGAAGTATAAAAACTTGGCACTGAGGACAGCTGTGAACAATAAACTAAGCCTGTTTCCAGGTAAGAGCAAATTTATCTTTTAATCCAGCAGCACTGACATGAGTGAGATTATGGAACTCCTGAGCTTCTTGGGTTGCAAAAGATCAAACAGTCGACCTTATGGTTACCGGCAGACATGGGTCCTGGTAAAGTGGTATGAGATCTAACATGTGTAATATAGAAAGGGTGTCTAGTTGGCGAAACACCTGTTGTAACCTTGAAAATAAAGAAGCCAATTCAGAATTATCAATATGTTTGATAGTAGCAGTTTCTATATTTTTAGTGGCATGTACAACATAAGCAGAATCAGAGAAAATATTTAAAGGTTTGGGGAAATCCTGTAAGGCAGTAATCACAGCAATTAACTCTGCCTTTTGAGCAGAGGTATAAGAGGTAGAAATAAGCTTGTCTGTAGGGCCTACATGACCAGCATTGCCATTACTGGAGCCATCAGTGAACACTGTAACGGCCTCAGGAATGAGCCGATCTTTGGTTAATCGAGGGACCACCCAAGACATCATCTTTATAAAATCAAACAATTTGTTCTTTGGATAATGATTGTCAACGCCAATGTAATCAGTCAAGTGAATTTGCCACAGTACGGAATGTTGAAAGGCGGTTTGAACTTCGAGTCAAGTTAAAGGAACTACAATTAAATTCAGATCAAATCCAGAAATTTGAAGTATTCTACACCGAGCCTGTCCAATTAATATGGCTATTTGGTCCAGATAAACAGACAAAGTTTTTGACACAGAATGAGGAAGAAAACACCACTCCACTAAATCATTATGTTGAACTATTAGTCCAGTAGGGGAGTGTAATGAAGCAAAAACCAGAAGTTGAAAAGGCTGAAACGGCTGTACTCTAGATAACTGAGCGGTCTGGTTTCTTTCCTCTACGAATTCCAGTTCTAGTAAAGCCTCAGGGGTCTAAGTCCTGGGACCGTGGAGACCGGAATCTCCCCGCAGTGTAGAAAACAAGTTAGACAGCGCATAGGTCGGAATACCTAAAGCAGGTCTTAAATAATTAATGTTACCCAAAAGTTTTTGGAAGTCATTTAATGTTTTCAAAGAATCTCTCCTAATTTGAACTTTTTGAGGTTGAATATGTTGTTTATCGACCACCATTCCTAAACATTGAACAGGAGTGGTCTGTTGAATTTTATCCTGAGCGATGTGTAACCCAGCCTCTGTAACATGGCGGCTCGAAATTTTGTAAGTCAATTAATTATGTCTCAGTGGGGGCAGCAATTAAAATATCATCAATAAAATGAAGAATACAGGCCTGGGGAAATTGGGCTTGAGCTGGTGAAAGCACTTGTCCAACATAAACCTGGGAGATTGTAGGGCTAGTCAGCATTCCCTAAGGAAGTACTTTCCATTGATAATGAGCTGCAGCCTCCTGATTATTGATAGATGGTACAGTAAAAGCAAATTTTTCACAATCCGATTTATGTAAAGCAATATAAAAAAAAACTT